TCACTGGAAGCATTGATATTGGCTTTTGTTTGTTTGTTTGTTTGTTTGTTTCCCGAGATAGGGTTTCTCTGTATAGTCCTGGCTGTTCTGGAACTCTTAGACCAGGCTGGCCTTAAACTCAGAGAGATCCATTTTCCTCTGAGTGCCAGGATTAAAGGCATATGTCATCACCACCTGGCTGACCTGTGTTTTAAAACAAACTAGCCAAGAGTGACTTCCAAGAGATTCCTAAATTCCTTGAGATTTACATTCTAAACACCAAATCCCAAAACCAGTGTCTTGCTATTTTTATCAGAAACAACTCTAGCTATTATCCTAGCGGTCTTATTTTTTGCATATCTTTTCTTTTCCATGTCTAGTTTGGCTTCTGTTGGAGCCATAATCCAATTAAGGCTTCCTTTACTTTAGCATCTCCTGTTCAACAGGCTGAGAAAGCCCCTCTCTCTCTCTCTCTCTCTCTCTCTCTCTCTCTCTCTCTCTCCACTAGCCACTATGGGAGTTGCGACTTTTGGAAAGTGAGTTTCACTCTATAGCTGTGGCTGGCCTGGAATTCACTATGTCGTGGCTTTTGAACTTGCAGTTGTTTTCCTGCTTCTAACTCCTGGGTGCTGGGATAGTGGACATGAGCCTGGACATGAAGCCTCTTGCAAGGTCTATTAATGTAGCTAATTATTCTAGCAACAAAGCTTAAATTTAAAAAAATCAAAATGAATTTTAGGCATATGCTATTAGTTTGACTTCATGATATCAACTATTACATTTTAACGTCAACATCAACTACCAAAAACTATAATCAAATAGTCTTATAGGTTTGGTCAAACTTCAAATAAATAATTATTTATTTATTAGGGATTAGTTATGAGGGAGCATGCTGCCTGCAGTCATTTCTACCCCCACTGTAACACATGACCTCTGAATGAATCCAAATTGGAGACAAACTGAAAACTGTCATCACCAGCTGCTTTACAGACAATATCAAAACCAGGGCTCAGTGATGACCTGCTGTCAGCCAGAAGCTTTGGTGCCATCTCCCCAGGTTCAGTGAAATCACAGAAGAAACTTCTTTCTAGGCTTCCACACAAAGCCACCATAAGAGGGACCCAAAGGACAGCTGCACACAGCAATGTGACGGGCTGCTGGAGTGCACAGAGCCACAGCTCTAAGTGCACAGCCTGTCCATCTGAGTTCCTCAGACAGATCTGGGTGTGGCCTGTGGGGGAATCCCAAGCCAGGGACAGGTACCCAACATGGCTGGCATTGGTGGAGGAAAAACTATAACAAGTGACAAGTGATGGAAAGGAAATGGGATAACGAGTCAGGACTGGTGGCACAGGCTTACCATCCCAACTACAAAAAAAGCAAAGGCAGAAAGGAGCTCAAGTTCAGTGTTAGCCTGAGCAACTCAATGAGACCCTGTCTCAGTACCAAAGGGTAGGGCTGGAGAGACGGCTCAGCAGTCAAGAGGATCCCAGTTGGACAGGTCACACCTGCCTATGACTTCAGCTCCAGAGGTCAATGCTCTGGCCCCTGTGAGCATACACAGACAGACAGAAACACACAGACACCAAAACAAAAACAAAAAACCACCTAAAAATCAGCAAGAACATCATCTGGAAGAATATAGCCGCCGTCACCCCATTTTGTTTTTTTCTTACAGTACTGGGAGTGGAAACCAGGGTCTCAGACAATGCTAGTCAAATGTTCTGTCATAAAACTGCCCTGAGCCTATAACCACGCTGTCCCTTTCTTTCTTATAGACAGGAATTCACTATGTAGCCCTGGCTGTCCTGGAACTCACTATGTAGACCAGGTTGGTGGAACTCAGATATCCACCTTCAAACAGTATTGATTAGAGGAGACCCCAAGAATAAGACAGATGGTGATTCCGAGCAGGCTCTGCATACACCCTCCTCCCCTCAGGCCAGACAATGCTAGCCGATCATAGTGTCCTTGCTCAGTGAACTTGGGAGCATCTAGGAATCCTTAGCTCCTGGCAGCTTTACCCCTGGGAAGTCCTTTTTTGTTCTGAGTTTTGCAACTCTGACTTGCAAGTCTTCCCCATAGCAGCCAGGCTTTCTTAAAAGTCAGTTCTTCTGATGGACTTTTAAAAAGCCTGCCTTCTGAGATGTTTCCATAGACAGCTTGGAGCCTCCTTTATAAGAGCATTAGTTTTGAGGGCAGAGTCCCCATAACCTAATCACCCCTTAAGCCACCTCCTAAGTACCATCACACCCAGGTGGTTAAAATGTGTGTGTGTGTGTGTGTGTGTGTGTTTGGACAAGCACACTGTGGTTGAGGTGAGTGGTTGTGGTACCACTGTGTGCTGTGGAGATGCTCTTTCAGACTCAAGCAGGGGACCACCAGAGGTCCGAGGTCAGCCTGCTCTACAACAGAGAGTTCCAGGTCACCCAAGAGTACACAGTGAGTTGAGGCCTTGTCTCAAAAAACCATAAAGGGGGTGGTGACATATACGTTTAGTTCCAGTACTCAGGAGGCAGAAGCAGGCAGATCTTGGTAAATTCGAGGCCACTTGGCACCTGGTCTACATTATGACTTCTAGATTAACTGGAGTGGTATAGTGAGACACTGCCTCAAAAAAAAAAAAAAAAAGCCAGACAGTGGTGATGCACACCTTTAATCCCAGCACTCAGGAAACAGAGCCTGGCTAATCTCTGTAAGTTCAAGGACGGCCTGGTCTACAGAGTGATTTCCAGGACAGCCAGGGCTACACAGTAAAACCCTGTCTCAAAAAGCTGTACATACGTATGTTCATACACACACACACATACACACACACACACACACACATACACACACACAAGGCTCTCAAAAAGTCACCCCTCATCATGTTTAATAACACAAATGACTTGATATTCTTGATTTTGGTTCTGTGTGCTAGAGTGTCTGCCTAGCAGGCACAAGGCCCTGGGTTCAATTTTCAGCGTGCACGTACACACACACATACACACACACACACACACACACACACACACACACACGCAGGGAGGGGGGAGTGGGAAGGCATTTATTGTTTTTAAAGTTATCCAGCTTAAGTTTTGTTGCAGCATCTCAGAAGAACCAAGACACACTCTGCCACAGTCTACATTGTCCTTCCAACTGATTTGACTAAATTAGCAGATTCCATATAAAACTCTCAACTCTCATTTTAGAGAAAGCACTTCTGTGGTCTGGATAAGCAAAGTCAGACCTTTCTGAACTCTATACAGGACATCCCAACAAACAAACCACACTCATACCCCTGGAGATTCAATGGAGACCTGCGCTCATTCAAGTGTGCTCACTGGGTCTAAATATGAAATGTCCACCACAGTTCCATGTATTAAAGGTAAGGTCTCTAGAGTTGAGAGACACTAGAAGGCTTTAGTACAGTGGTTCTCAGCCTTCCTAATGCTGTGACCCTTTAATATAGTTCTGCATGTTCTGATGACTCCCCATTGTAACATTATTTCATTGCTACTTCATAACTGAACTCTTGTCATGGTTTTGAATTGTAATGTCAATATCTGATACCAGGATATCTGATACGAGACCCCTGTAAAAGGAGTCATGACCCAGAGGTTGAAAACCAGTGCTTTAAGAGGTAGGGCCTGGCTGTAGGAACTCAATGATGGGGACAAGTCCTTGTGACTGTATCTTGTCTTGTGTCCATCCCATCTCTCTCTGCTTCCTGGCTGCTATGACGTGAACAGTCTCTACTATGCTGTTGTGCTTCACCACAGACGGACCCAGAAACATGGAGCAGGATGACTGTGAACTAAAACCTCTGAAAATGTAAGCCAAAATCAGTTTCTTTCTCCTCTTTAGTTATTTATGTCAGATTCCTCATCATAGAATCAAACAATCTCAGGTAGCCAGACTCCAAGAAAGGCCTTGGTATGTGCCTGGTCCTTGCTGATGGTTAAGTCATTAGCTCCATGCTGACTTCACCCTGAATCTGAGGTTCAGAGGCATTAAGGCCTGTATCTAAGACCACACAATACAGCTTGGGCCCTGAACTTGTCATTCAAGGGTATGCAGTTCACACACTACTAGACTCCAGTTCTCCACCCAGGCAGGAGATGCACGCTAAAGCAGATAGAATTATGAACCAAGTACATGAAGAAAAATTCAACCCCATTTGGGCTAGCCACAGACAGGCTACATCAGGGCTAAACCGTAACTGAGAATAAATACGCCTAAACATCTGTCACAATAATACCTAATACCTTGTAAATCTTGTAAAATTCATCCTTAAAAGTGAGTCAGTAAGTAGGTAATACTCACACGCAGTACTTACTAAAATTGAGTACAAATTTTATCTTTAGAAGCCAACATGTTCTTTCTTTAATCTACTTCCAAGTGCCGCTCAATATAATAATGATTTTTCCATCTCAATGAGGATGAGCTAAATGTGACCTACCAAAATGACCTCCAACTCCAGACACCAGGCATATCAAAAACTACTCCCAGCAGCTATGGGGTTATCATGAACCCTAAGAGATCTACACATGTACCTCAGCCAAGGAAATACATCACCCAACCTCGGCAGGATGCAGCAGTGCTCTTCACGGCTAAGCCATCCTTCCTCCTCCTTCACCTCTTAGGAAAAGAATGGAGATTGAGCCTAGGGCCCAAACTATGCCTACAGCCCAGATAGGACTTCAGCTCTTCACTCAGTAAAACAGACATTTCCAACTCGAGGGCAGGGGTGGCACACACCTTTCATCTGGCACCCGGGAGGCAGACCTTTGAGTTCAACACTACTTTGGTTACAGAGTAAGTTCTAAGACAACCAGGGCTAAACAGAGACACCTCGTTTTAAAACAATAACAACAAAACGAACAAACAAAAAAAAGCTATTACTATCAGATTTCTTTAGAAAACATGCGTGAACATTCCAGCAACCTGGAAAATAGTCATCTTTACCTATGATGTGAAATGATATATCAAATTTGGTGTGAGCCAGTGAGTGGGTTACTAAGAGACAAGCAAGCAAGTACCTGGGAGAGCAGGCTGTAGGTGGATACCGGTCTGTGAGCTGCTGAGTGCTTCGGTCTGGAGCTGTAGCCTGGGTACCAGTCCCACTCACAGGGAGAAGAGAGTAAGGCAGGACTCCGTGCCCTGGAGAAGACAGATTGGTTAGATCTAAGTGCACCCTCATCTTGATGAGCTTCTGAAGTGTACACTGAAGTCTGAATATCATAGCTCATCCTGAAGGATGGCAATAAACACAGACTTATACAGCAGGCGCTGTAATCTATCACACAACACACAACACCTATTAGTCCCCAAAAAGAATCCCAGCATCGGTGAGCAGTCAGTCATTCCCCAGCCCGTAATTCTCTCCCATCCTCTGACCTTAGGCAATCACCAATCTCATTTATGTTTCTAGAGATTTACCTGATTTTTTTTTTATCTTTTTAAAAAATTTATTCATTATTTCATGTGTATGGGTTTCTCCTGGCTTGCATGTTTATCTGGGCACCACGTGTATGCAGTACCTGCTGGGGCCACAAGAGGGTGTTGGAGCCCCTTAAACTAGTGTTAACAGCAGGTTGCAAGAATCCCAAGGTTGTTGCTAGGAACTGAGCTCTGGTCCTCCGCAAGAGCAGTATACACTCGTAACCACGGAACTGTCTCTCCAGCTCTTAATACACCACTACTTCTAAAAGTCAAATAACATTCTACCATACAGACATACCACAATCAATCAATCAATCTGTTTATCAGATAGACATTGGACTAGGCCCAACCCACCTGAGCATAATCCTCAAGTACAAGAATTTCAGAGAATTTTCTTTCTTGGAGATGGAGGGTGGGCTGGAGGGGAAACTTAACAGAAAACAACTGAGAAATAGAAAGAAAAAAAAAACTTTTTTCCCCTTTAACACAGGGTCTCCATATGTAGCCTCGCCTGGCCTCAAACTCATAATCCTCCTCTTCCCTCCCATCAGGGGCTGGGATTACAGATGCGTCTCCTGGGCCTGGTAAGAAAACTTTAATATGGTACAATGTACCTAAAATTTTGCATTTTAAAGCCTGCAAAGAGAAAGCACTTGAAACGACCAAGGGATGTCCTTTGTGACTTCAGTAAAACTGGCTTATAGCCTTGAATCTATGTTGCTGACCGCCAGCATCTCAAGAGACAGATTCTTTGTATCTCTCAATACAAAAACATTTAACCCTTCACATCCCTGCCCACGGCCACGGGGGGGGGGGGGGGGGCGGGAATGTGCGGGGTTCCCAGGGAATGTGCCCTCTTGCCATTTCTGTACCCATTCTTCTTTCTGTCTGTGACACAAAGATTCTGGCTATCTTCATTAAACTCTCTCCTTCCTATACTGACAAACCAGAAGTAAGGGACAGTGTTGATTTTATTTGTTCAGGCAAGAAGCCTATTTCCCTTCTCCAAGGATCAGCAGGAAATGTAGGCTGAGGCTAACTCGAGGTCAACTGGACTTCCTACAAAGCAAGCAGCGGATCGGGCCCAGCCCATTCGTAGTTTCTATTATTACTTCCAAAGATAAATAAACGGCAAGCAAATCAAGATGTGCTTGGTTACGCCTTTGGCCTGAATGTGAGATTTTTTTTTTTTTAATGCAGGTATCAGTTCTAAACAATTTCTTTTAGTGAAACATCTTGCTTTTTAACATACTTTTTTTTTGTTTATCTATAACATCCTGGATTTAATTTTCTTTCTGTCTTTTTTTAAATTTGGAGACAATCTCATGTAGACCAGGCTGGCTTCAAACTTACTCTGTAGCTTTTTAGAATAAATGATCCTCCTGCCTCTACACACCAGCACACCCAGTTCATGGGGAATGTTCATGGGAAATTTTACCCATGCAGCCAACAATCTACCTTCCTACCTCTGAGATCTTGAACAGCTTTTTGGAGAGAAGGAATTAGGATAAAAAGCCAGCAGGATAAAAAGCACAAGGTCTCGAGGCAGACAGCAAGAGGACACTGCCTCTTGTGTGACCCATGGACCAAACCCATACCAGCATCTTGCTCCTCAGCATCATCTTTGAGTGTGTGGCAAATGCAGAATAACAGGGTGAAGAAGGAAGACTGTCAAGAGTTCAAGCCCAGCTTGGGTTACACAGTAAATCTGTATCTCAAAGAACAGGGATGGCAGAGCTGACAGGTGGACGGAAGGCTCCCTAGCAGATACAACCTGAATCTACATTTTAACAGGGTGATTGACATATACGCTAAAGTTTGCAAAATAAGACATTTGGGAGCTGGAAAGATGCTCAGTGGTTAAAAGCACTGGTTGTTCTCCCAGAGGAACTGGTTCGATCCCAGCACCTACATGGCAAATAACAACTGACTGTACTTCTTTACACTGTAGGTACTGCATACACACGGTAAACCTGCAGGCAAAACACCAATACACATACAAATAAAATAAGACATTGAAGTCTGTGAAAGATGAAGAACTAAAGAGTAAAATTAACACAGTAGGGGCTAGAGAGATGGCTCAGTGTTTAAGAGTACTTAGTGATCTTATAAAGAACCTGGGTTCCATTTCCAGCACCCATGATGGCTCACAACTAATCATAACGCCAGTAACAGGGGTCCAGTGCTCTCTTCTGTCTCCTGAAGGCACCAGGCACACATGTGGTGCAGACATATATGCAGACAAAATGCCAATATACATAAAAATTAACCAAAATCAATTAACACATAGACAGGAAATCAACCCTCTAAGGATACCCAGAAAGGAATGGACGCTAAGCTTAGATGAAAGGCTGGTCCCAATAAAGCTGTGTGGAGATCAGGAAAGCTATATTCTGTTGGGGTGAACTCAAAGCAATGAGAACTCACCCGTGAGAGGAGCATGTCGGTCCTTCAGATAATGAGGCCAAGGCACCAGGCCTGCAGGAATGTTCTGCTCAGAAGCAAAGATCAAAACCAGTGTGGAGCTTTGTTTATGAAGGATCAGTTTGCAATGAATGGTTTCTCATCATTTAGGGAGACAAGGGGGAGACAGAAATGGTTCTCCTTATGGGACTTACTCATCCCAATTACTGGGAATCTCTAAACAAACTACTAATCTGTCAGTTTAGGGATGAAGAGCATCACAAACCGCCCTGGACCAGATAGTAAAGACATCCAGCTTGTGTCTGAGGACCAAGCCCTCCTTCTGTAATGATGATTCCAATGAAGCTATTCCACACTCTAACAAGTGAAGACTAAATTAGAACTCAGAAATGGAAAACACACAGACCACATGTCATAGCTCCCAGTTTCCTGACTCTGTATTCAGAACAAGCATCCCTGATTCAGTGTTTACAAGCCCAGGCTTGTCCTCATGGTCCTCGACAGCTATACTCTCCAGTCACCCCCAACACCTGGCACCTGTGTGCCAAGGGAGAAATCTATGGCCTCCCCAACAGAAGATCCCACCAGCTCTGTATTTCTGCTCCTCTTAGACCACGGTCTAAGCTTCATTCAGTGTGGCCACACTCAGAGGCTCCCTCAAGAATCAGTTTGGGGGCTGGAGAACTGGCTCAGTGGTAAGAGAAAGTACTCCTCTTTTGGACTGAAGACCCAAGTTCCATTCCCAGCATGCATATCAGGTGGCTCACAGCAGCCTGCATCTCCAGTTGCAGGGGGATCCAATGCCTCTGGCCTCCAAGGACACCTGGAACTACATGCACATATCACACACACACACACACACAATACAGTTAGGGGAAGAGGAGAATGAAGTAATTATATTTTAATTTTTTAAATAAAAAATAATAATAACTTCAGGACTGAAGAGATAGCTCGGTGTTTAAGAACACTGGCTGCCCTTCCAGAGGATCCAAGTTCAATTCCCAGCACCAACATGTGGCTCACAACTAACTCTCTGTGAATCCATTTCTTCTTGGAATGCAACATCTTCTTCTGGCCTCTATGGGTACCAGGCATGCCTGTGATATATAGAAATACACACAGGCAAAACACACACACAAATACTTTATTTATTTGCTTGTTGTTTGTTTATTTTGTTTTTCAAGACAGGGTTTCTCTGTGTAGCCCTGGCTGTCCTGGAACTCACTCTGTAAACCAGGCTGGCCTCAAACTCAGAAATCCACCTGCCTCTGCCTCCCAAGTGCTGGGGTTAGAGGCATACACCACCACTACCCGGCTACTTTTTAAAAATTAAAGAAAATAAATTTTATAAAACTCCAGTAAAGCTACATTTGGTCAGGAAGAAAACAACAATAATAAAAATACACCTTTTTTTGTGTGGGGGGGGGAAGGGGTTGGTTCTTCAAGACAAGGTTTCTTGGCGTAGCCCTCACTGCCTTGGAACTAGCTTTGTAAACGAGGCTGTCCTCAAACTCACCTAGATCTTCCTCCCTCTGTTTCCCGATAGGATTAAAGGTGTGAGCCACCACCGCCTGGCATGAAAATAAATCTTAAAAAAAAAAAAAAGATGCTAAGTGTGACAGTACATGCCTTATATTCCAATACTCAGGAGGCTGAGGCAGACAGACATGTATGAGTTTGAGGGTAGCCTGAACTACATAGTTAGTTCTTAGATAGTCAGGCTACATAGAGGGATCTTTTTGGTCTCAAAATCCAAAAAGAAACAACAACAAAAATCTGTTTTTCATTACAGCACGACCTCTTCACGCTTTAGGAAGAAAAACAGTATATGATATAATAATAAATAGTAATGTCTCCAGATTCAGTCGCAGACCTGAATTACTGAAAAGGGGAAAGTCTGTCTAATAAAAACCTCCCCTTACAGACAGGACATCTTCTTGAACCAAATGTCTCGAGAGCATTTGAAGCTGAGTCACAGGGTGCAGAGCAGTTGTGCTATGCGTAGTAGGAAGCAGGGACACCCTGGTCTTTCTCCACTCAGTGCCAGCACCAACCTTGAATTCTAACAACCAAAAATGCCCCAACACAGTACAAAACATCCCCCGGGAGTAGACAGCAAAATTCTTTTCCTCTTCCTATGCTGAAAAGCACTGACTTTCATGATTCTAGAGATTCTCTTCAGGAAATGGAACTATAAATAATCCACTCGTGTTTCTATGTTTTCTACACCTTCCATAATGAATGTATACTGAAGCCAGTAATTTTAATTTTTAAGGAGAAATCCCACTTATTAA